CCAGCCCCCGGGCGGGGGCGGCTGAAGCGGGGGTTCTGCGCCCTCTTCAGCGAGGCGAGGGGAAGTTTGTGTAGGAAAACGGAACGAAAATCCAGATTAGATTGGAAATCTAGTGTCTAGTTTGCAGTCTCGGTAGCGTGACAAGAATTAGACTTGGGCTGTTTCTTTTCAACCGGCTTTGTGTCATGCTGAGTGTTTGCTTCACAAATGTGGAAATAAGCTGAATGTGGCAGTTTTTGTGAGTGGGTTTTTGTTGGTTTTTGTGTTTTTTTTTTTTTTTCTGCAGCCTGTAGTAACTACAGCGAATGCTCTCCTGCACCCCGTGTGCCCCTCAGCGAGGTGTTGCTGTCAACTGTGCGAAGAAAGGGCGACACATCGGGTTTTAACACCCCCCCTTTGATCGGACAAAGCTTTCAGATGTCAGCACAACGCTCAAGAGTGACCTGAAAAAGGCAGCTCAGGAAGGGTGGAAGGCAAGAACGGGATCCAGCTCTCCAGTCCTCCCTGTGACGGGAGGAAGGACTCTCCTCCCTTCGAGGTGGCAGCGGACACCTCTGCCCAGGGCAGCTCGTAGGGTTTGATGGTGTGGGGAGGAGGAGGACGGGAGAAGGAGGACCATGAAAAATGTAGCAACGAGTGGATTGAGTTGTTATTCAGGGGTGAGCTATGGGAGTGGCCCTGAGGTCGGTGGTGTATGCTAAGAATGCAGCTCTTGGGCAGGAGTGCCCCGTCCTGCATGGCACCAACCTCCCTTCACAGTGCTGCTTCCTCAAGGAGGCAGCCAAGAAGTGCAGTAGGCAACAGGAAGTCTTTGGAGGGGATTAAGTCAAGCTGCATTAAGAAAAAAACCCCATGATGCTATGAAAATGCCCAATATTTAATCCAGGGTTCGTATATATCCACCCCAGTTTTTAAAAAAAAGCGTTAAAATTGAATGCTGCTGTGAAAGAAGTGCAGGAGATGCACAGCGCACTCCATGTGGGTGTTTCTGAGGGGAAGGCAGTGAAGAAAGCTGTTCCTTCTCTTCTTGATGAATTGTCTTCTGCACACTGCAAAGCTTGTGTAGTACGGGGGTCTTCAGCATAGTTGGGCATTTCTGTGTTGAGTTTATTTAGCAAGGTAGCGGTGGGATTACTTTGCTGAGCCTAGCTGGTGGTGGAGGCAAAAGTTCACTTCATAAATTTACCTTGGATCTCATGTGTGACCTTGAACAAACTAAAGCATAGCTCTGTAGTACGGTCAACACCAAGCCTTCACGCATTATAAATCAGTCCTATAAAAACAAATAGATTGGCTGAACTATAATGAGATTTCTGAAAACAATGCCCTGGGGAGAGTTTTTACTGGACTCTCATTTTTGCCTTGTAAGCAATGTAAATGTCTTTTCACTTTCACGTTTTCCTAAGTCAGTGCAGTCATATGAACCCAGAAGCTGTTGCTATAAGACTAAATTTCAGAAGCAGGCAAAAGTATTGCAGTATACATTGCATTGAAGGGCAATTGAAGTGAGCATTGAAGTCTACGTTGAACTATAGTGAAATGATGATGGGAAAAGAAGCCTGTCAGCCTTACCCAAATCTTGCAGAGCTCTTCTCATTGATTTTAGGATTTAGAGCTTGTTTTAGTCTCATTATTACAGCATATATATGTATTAGCGAATCATTTTGGAACAGATGTTTTCTTCTTGTCTGTCATTTGAAGTATTGATTGAGTTTTCAGGCTCTCTGCAAATAAACTCAACCTTCATGCTATAGAAACTCTTACAGATTCCCACTCTTTTCCTTGTACTGAGCGTAGTTGTGCAGAGCTTTATGCATTTGTTTGCTTGAGTTTTTGAGCTACACTGGGAAAATTTTTAGAAATAGGTAAGGAATGCAGCACCATTAGTTTGCTTGTGCTGGCTTGCTGGGTGTCATTCTCCAGTGCCCTTACATCTGTGTCGAGTGACCACCACTCGGTATTGTTCTGTATGTCCTGGCTCAAGCGCTTCACTCCCACAAGTAAAAAGCCAAAATAACTCTATGGACTTCTGTGTAGAGACTTTGGATTTACATTGGTGTTGATGAGGCCAAACTCATCACAGAGTGCACCTTAGTGTAAATAAGAAACATGCAGTGGGAGGTGATGGGAAATCAACTCCATGGTTTCCCTTTCCTGTGTGCTGTGGGTCAAATTCTCCCTTCATTTTTCCCTAGCACAGTTGAAAAGCAGCTCAGTGGAATCCACAGGACTGTGCCAAAACTGATAGAAGCAGTGGAAGTGTGAAGCTGTTGCAGACTCTGTTGCTTGCATTGTTCCAGAGGGCTGCAGCTGAGTTGATGGACCATCGATTTCTGTGCAGTGCCAGCTGTGGGGCATGGGGACCACAGTGGGAACACGTTCTCCCCTGACCCCACCTTCCATGCCATCTGCTTCAGCTCCTGCTAGACGTTGAGGAGAAGGAAGCCATAGAAGCCCTCTTGATCGGCCCCTCTGTGGGGGAGCTTGGTTGAAGACTGTCTTGATCCTCAAGTGTTTGAGGCAAACACTTCACTGAGCTGGCGGCAGATGCCCAGTGGGGCTGCTCAGCCTGGAGGGTTTGTGACCTGGCTCTGCACATGCTGTGCAGGGAGGGCCCTGAGAAACAGGCAATCCCAGGGCGAGATGCCGTTGTCATCCCACAGGGACTATGGGGCGGGAGCTGAGCCTGGGCTGGGGAGGGGGAAGCACCATGGGAGCTACCATGGGGCCAAGGCTACCCTGGTGAGCAGGAAGCAGTGAAACCAGGGCATGGGAAGGGCAAGGGGGTTCCCATGGGTCTCTTCTCTTGTGCTGGGGCTCCAGCAAGGTCTTCAGAGACACCCAAAGGGTTTGATAATTCAAAAGTTTTATTTAGGCATCAAAAATCCTGACTCCTCATTAACTGGCATGTTGATATCTTTGAATTCGTTTTTGTATTTTCACTTTCTTAGCAAGCACAATTTAGTTTAACAAATGTATATCAATTAGAATAAATTTTCCCATTGAAGAAGGATGCAGCTCAAGCACTCTGTTGTGTGTCTGGTCCTGGGGGCCAAGCCCGCTGCACTGGGGAGGCAGCGGGGAGGGGTCAGTACTCCGGCAGCTGTAAGCTCTCCGGATATGCCTGCACCCAGCGCGCCTCGGGGTTCACGCATACCTCTCTCCTCTTCTTGGTGACCAGGCTGCCAGGAGAAAATCAATGTTGGGATGCTTGGATGGGGCAGTGGGGTGCCTGTGCTGGGTCCTGCTGGCAGTACCCCAGGTGTCCCTGGCCATGCCCCCTTCCTCCTCCTGGCCCCCCTCAGACACCCTTGGGGCGCTGCCCTAGCCATCACACCTCACCCCTGGCAGTGGTGGGTACTCACATCACCCCTGGCAGTGGTGGGTACTTACATCACCGCTGGCTGGGGGCACATGCTGCTGGTCCTGTAGGCGGAGGCAATCAATCTGTGCGGGATGGTGCGTTACATGTAGGAGAAGCAGCAGGGGGTTGGGACCAATCCTGCAGGGGCAGAGAGACAGCTCCAGTGAGACCCCACAATGTGGCAGATGCAGAGGCTCCCAGGGGATTCGCCCGGGCCTGTGCTGTTCTGTGTGTCCCCCAGGGACACCCCTTGAAAACCTCCATCCCTGAGGCTGAGTCTCAGCACTGGTGGTGACCACCTGCTCCCAGCCCTCCCCATGGACACAAAGGTCCCATCAATGGGGATGAAGCTCTCTTCTGGGGAGGGACAGCAAACCTGACTTCTGGGAGGACACAGCAACGCTGGAGTCACCAAGATGGGCCTCAGCTGGGGAGCAGGTGGCCATGAGGAGCAGAGCGACCAGAGCAGCTGCAGAGACCTTCATGGTGCTGCAAGGACTGAGGAAACCTCGAGTGGGGCTGGAGCTGGGGTGGCTGCAGGGCCCTCCTCTGCACAGTGCTCTGCATCTGCTGCCGCTGCCCTCCTTTTATGCCCTGGCTGCTGGGTGGGCACAGGGTTTCAAGGAAAGAAACGAGTGCATCATACAGGGGAAATCATGTCAGGATCGCCCAGTTTTGCTGAACTGGAAAAGGCAAGGAGACCACAGAAGAGGAAGTCCTGGCCATGAGACTGCGACTTTCAGATTCAAGAAAGAACAAGGAGGAGAAGATCTCTCTCACTGTAGGAGAGGATCAGGTTCGAGACCATCTAAAGAACCTGAAGGTGCACGAGTCCATGGGACCTGATGAGATGCATCTGCAGGTCTTGAGGGAGCTGGCAGGTGAAGTTGCTAAGCCGCTATCCATGATATGTGAGAAGTTGTGGCAGTCTGGTGAAGTTCCCACTGACTGGAAAAGGGGAAACATAACCCTCATTTTTAAAAAGGGCAAAAATGAACACCCAGGGAACTACAGGCTAGTCAGTCTCACCTCTGTGCCTGGCAAGATCATGGAGCAGATCCTCCTGGCAACTGTGCTAAAGCATGTGGAAAATAAGAAGATGACTGGTGACAGCCAATATGGCTTCACTAAGGGAAAATCGTGCCTGACAAATTTGGTGGCCTTTTACAATGGGGTTATGGTGTTGGTGGATAAGGGAAAAGGAACTGACATCATCTACCTGAACTTGTCCAAAGCATTGGACACTGTCCCACACGACATCCTTGTCTCTAAATTGAAGAGATAAGGAATTGATGGATAGACCACTTGATGAATAAGGAATTGGCTGGATGGTTGCACTCAAAGAATTGTGGTCAACAGCTTGATGTCCAAGTGGAGACCTGTGATGAGTGGTGTTCCTCCGGGGTCAGTACTGAGGCCAGTGCTATTTAACATCTTTGTTGGCAACATGGACAGTGGGATTGAATGCACCCTCAGCAAGTTTGCTGATGACACCAAGCTGTGTGGTGTGGTGGACATGCTGGAGGGAAGGGATGCCATCCAGAGGGACCTTGACAGGCTGGAGAGGTGGGCCTGTCAGAACCTAATGAAGTTCAACAAGGCCAAGTTCAAGGTCCTGCACATGGATTGGGCAATCCAAAGCAGAAATACAGGCTGGGTGGAGACTGGATTGAAAGCAGCCCTGAAGAGAAGGACTTGGGGGTGTTGGTTAATGAGAAGCTCAACATGAGCTGGCAATGTGCGCCAGCAGCCCAGAGAGCCAACCGTATCCTGGGCTGCATCCAAAGAAGCATGGCCAGCAGGTTGAGGGAGGGGATGCTCCCTCTCTACTCTGCTCTTGTGAGAGCCCACTTGGAGTACTGTGTTCCGTTCTGGCGTCTCCAGCACAAGAAAGACGTGGATCTGTTCAAATGGGTTCAAAGGAGGGCCACAAAGATGATCTGAGGGCTGGAGCACTTCTTCTCTGAAGACAGGCTGAGAGAGTTGGGGTTGTTCAGCCTGGAGAAGAGAAGGCTCCAGGAACACCTTCCAGTACCTAGAGGGGGCCTACAAGAAAGCTGGAGAAGGTCTTTTTACAAGGGCGTGTAGTGATAAGACAAGGGGCAATGGATTTAAACTGAAAGAAACTAGATATAAGGAAGAAATTCTTTCTGATGAGGGTGGTGAGGCACCGGCACAGGTTGCCACAACAGAAGTTGTGACTGCCTCATCCCTGGAAGTGTTCAAGGCCAGGCTGGATGAGGCTTTGAGCAACCTGATCTAGTGGAAGGTGTCCCTGCCCATGGCAGGGAAGTTGGAACTAGATGATCTTGAAGATCCCTTTGAGGTTTCAACCCAAACCATTCTATGATTCTGTGATTCTATGAGAAGAGAAACAGCCTCACATTGTACCAGGAGAAGTTTAGATCGGATATTAGGAAAAATTTCTTCACTGTAAAGGTTGTCAAGCATTGCAATAGGCTGCCCAGGGAGTGTCCCTGGAGGTATTTAAAAGACCTGTTGATGTTCTGCAATGACTCCACTGGCCCAGAGCCAGGCTGGTGCACAGAGCTCCATGGCCAGAGCCCTGAGGAAAATCAGACAAGGCCAGAAAAAGGAAAAAAAAGGAGGAAGTAGCAAGTTTTGTAGCTTTCTTTCTGAGTGTGCACTGGTGGGGGCGTTTGGGAATTACACTCTGGGATTACAAATGCTGCCTCTTTTCAGTCATGCTACGATCTCCTCAAGGTTTCATCTACAAGGCTGCAATGAACTGATCTCAGTAGGTGCCATCAGAATCCTCTCCTCCCTCCAGCTTCTACTCTTAATGCCCTATCTCCTCCCTGGCGCTTGTGATTTGGGGTTTTTTTTTGGCTAGGCCAATAGAGAGAGCCTAAATTGGATGAAGTTATCCTGCTTGGGAAGAAGTGGGGGAGCAGTAATTGCAACAACTTCACTGTCAAGAGACAGCAGACCAAAGTCAAAACGAAAATCCTTAGTAAGCGAGGTGTAAATCCTCTGTTCACCCTGGGGAGAGGGACGGTTGAGGCCAGGCTGCAGCCTGAGACCACCACTCTGGCCCTGGAGCAGGGCAACAGACTCCAGTCATAGAATCATAGAATGCTTTGGGTTGGAAGGGACCTTCAAGATCATTTGCTTCCAACCCCCCTGCCATGGGTAGGGACATCTTCTGTTAGATCAGGTTGCTCAAAGCCTCATCTGACCCGATCTTGAACGCTTCCAGGGACGGGGCAGCCACAACTTCTCTGGGCAGCATGTGTCAGTGCCTCACCACCCTCAGTGAACAACTTCTGCCCTAGATCTAATCTAATCATCTAATCTCATCCTATCACTAGACTCCCTGAGTCCCTCTCCAGCTTTCCTGTAGGCCCCCTTTAAGTACTGGAAGGCTGCTATAAGATGTCCTCAGAGCTTTCTCTTCTCCAGGCTGAACAACCCGAACTCTCCCAGCCTGTCTTATAGGAGAAGTGCTCCAGCCCTCAAATCATCTTTGTGGCCCTCCTCTGGACTCACTCCAACAGATCCATGTCTTCCTTGTGCTGGGGACCCCAGAGCTGAACGGAATACTCCAGGTGGGCTCTCACAAGAGCAGAGTAGAGAGGGAGGATCCCCTCCCTCAACTTGCTGGCCATGCTTCCTTCTCTTGATGCAGCCCAGGATATGATTGCAACACCAGTTGCAGTTCACTTTGTAGCTGAAAAATGAAAATCAGTTGTATCTGCACAGTTCCATCACTTGTTTAGGTTTTTTAGGTATGCAAAATCTGTCAATTTAAGTCCATAAGTTAATTCATTAATTCATTAATTCATTTCCCCTTTTGCTCCTAGCCCAAGCCTGAACTACACAATACATACTTTTATTAGATATTTATATAATTATCAGTTCTCTTTATCACACCTTCTCTCCCTGTGTTTCTGAGGGTTAGAAGATCCATGAATAATATGAGTTCTGCTTTCCCAGTTCTCTTTTTTCCTACTCCTATCTTTAAGGGTAACCCAAGCTGTAGCCTTAGATACAAACTGAACATAGCCATTATCTCTGCCCACTGATCTTTAGTTTTGCAGATATGCATAATCCACCAATGAAATGAAATTGGTGATGTTTAATTTCCCAAAATATAATATATAATGTAAGAAAGACCTAACCTGTATTATGGCAAACCTGTACCTATTTGAAAATATATTCCATTAGTATGTTTTGTGATCAATGCTCCACTTGATGCTGTTGTGGCCTGAGCAACTTGAATTCTGCTGACTTTTTGCCTACTTCTCTATGTTTAAAAGCACGTAAAGGTCTTACACATATTTAACAGAACCTTAAACGTAATCTTGGGACTGCTATAAAGACCAAAAAATGAATATAGCTATTAGTATCTGCAGACCTAGATTTTATCCTTGGTTTTGTAAGTCTGCAGTATCCCAAAAGTATATTGAAATAATAAATTCATATTTTCCTAAATGTTTAACTAGACAACATCACAAGTCAAAGCCTGGGCCAGGTGTAACTGTTCTGAAATGGATTTAATTACTTTAATATAAACCTTTGTCTCTGCTTAGAACATCCAACAGCAACAAATTATGCCCTACTACTCCTCTTTAACCTAACACTAATGTAAACCACCACTAACCATCTCCGTAAACACCCATTTTCTTGTCTGTCCTGGTAAAAAGAAGGTCATGTACACTTGTCTTTTGGTTCTAATTTAGATAAATTTAGGATATTTTTATGTAGGGAAGGAAAATAATTTTGAAACTACATTATCTGGGGTTTTTTATTTGATTGTTTGTAGGCTGTTTTTGAGGTCGTGCTCCCTTTTAGTTAAGACAGAAGCTGCTCTTTGACTGACCTTTTATCTTCATTCAGATAATATAACAAATAGATCCTTCCTGCTTATCTAAATTGGACAAATGTGTCCAAACTATAAAAGCAATAATAATTGACTATTTGCTTTAATATATATGTATATTTATGGTCATGTTCAGATAGATGTAGATATATATAAATGACTCTTCAAATAGTCAAGGTTTTACTGTAGCTTCATCTGAGATAACACAGTACTTTTGCAAACCAAGGTAAGTCCTTGTATGTTACCTATTTTGACAGTTTGTAAATAACACCATTTTAGTGTTAACCACTCTATAGATTTCATCCTCCGGAGCATCTTGACTTTTTCCCTTGATTTTATGTGTTAAATAATAGAGTTTAGCCAAAGCTGATCTAAGATAACTGGAGATCCTCCATCCATGGGTTAAAATCAGCTGTTTTGTTCTGCAAGAGAGTATATAGGCTTCCTAAGTGACAAGACTCGGTCTCAAAGAAGCGTAAGAAATGTGACAGGAAGGCAAAACAGGCTTCAAAGCATCTGTCTGTCTGTCTATCCCATTTTAATGGTGGTGGCAAACCAAAGCTCCCTGTGGTATGTATCACAGCAGTTAGCTACAGCCTGATCTTGTGAAGAGAGCCACAAATGTACCTTAACAATATGTAT